TTTTTTTTTTTTTTTTTTTTTTTTCTTTCTTTCTTCTTCTGGTTTTCTGCTCTGTGGTGCTGCTGTAGGGGGTGGTGTTTCTTCCTGTCCCCTTATCTGGGACCGCGTGTGTGTGGCTGACATAGAAGATTGGTTTTCCCTCTGTTTAAATGGGGTGGGGGAAGGTGAAGCCTTTTCTTTTTTGCTCTGTCCTTTTTAGGTGAAAGTGTGTGCGTTGTTTTCGGTCTGTGTCAGGTGACTCTGACTGACTGGAGCATCCATATCCTGACCGAAAGGGGGCGCTGTTGTATAAGGCAAGGACAAGTCTGGACTTTTTTTTTCATACAACAGACTTGTGTATTGTGTTATCACAACGGGGCCGGCTGTGCATGTGAATGAAAGAGAATGGAATGCCTGAGGGTGTGAACGGTCATCAGGTGTGGAACTCATATGTGTGTTACATGTTGGTAAACAATCTGAACGGGATGGAACAATTTTGAATATGAAATAAGTATAAAAGACCAGCAGACCAATAGCTGAAACAAGCAGAAATAGTCTTAAAGTACCAAAAGTGAGTGGGTAGAGCTTGGTTTTCCTGAATTAGGCTGTAAAAGTTGGATTACTGTAAAAATAAAGGTGGAATTAGCTGATATTGGCATGAAACAGCTAAATGGTATCTGTAATGTTAGCAGGTGTATCTGAATCTTCCAAACATTAGCTGGAAGAAGCACAATGTTCAGAAATTAACAGAAATACGTCAGCAGAAGTAAAAAACGTTGGAGTAAGCTGAATACAGCTTAAAAGAGGGAGGAGGTGCTTGGAGGTGGTACATCAACAGGGGTGATCGTGGCAGGAGGAGATCTGAACGCCATTTTCAGTCACTGTACGTAGGGAGAGAAACGTACTACATCGTTTAAAACAGGAAGAATGATCAGCAGCTGATTAGACCACAGCTGTCGGAGGCCAGACACAAACGGGGATAAGTGAGCGAGGTCGAAAAACATTTGTGTGTTCAGGACATCCCGTGTAGGAGCGGTAATTAACCGAGAGATGGAGTCAGAGGGGTTCAACTGGAGGTATTGTTGGGACAGCTAGCTGTGTGGGAAGAGGAAGAAGGCAGACAGTCACTCACTAAGCGGGCGAGGGACAGAGGTAAATTGATAACAAACGTACTGAACAGACAGGCAAAGGTGGAGAGCTGCTGACAAAGAGCTGCTGACATGATGCAGAGAAGGAAGGTGAATGGTTGAGGTGTCAAAGAGACCAAGTAGAAGAGCAGCATGGCTCACAGCAGTGGTGCTGGGTTCAAAATGTTTTATCAGGGTGTGGATAGAAAGAGAAATGGAGTAGGGGTGGTCTTGGAGGAAGTGAGGCGTAGGTCTGACGAAGGCCTAAGAGGAAATAAGGAGGATGATTTGTTGTGGTGACTTCTGAAAAGGGAAAAGCCGAAGGAAGCAGGACAAATAAAACAAATAAACATCATAAACAGGTCAAATAAAGTTTAAACATTTCTGGATGACACATTGTAAACAAATTAGCTAAAATTTCTTCTTGGGATGGACAATAAAATCAGTTAATAAATTCAACTGTATAACGACAGAATGTAAAATAAGTAATAAACAAAATCCTTGACACTTGTAAAATGAATAAAATTTATTCTGGTCAAAGAAACTCTTAACTGAACACAAATTGAAAGGCTTAAATCAATCAGTCTAAATGACTTTATCACATATTGAAAATATTGTCTAGAGTTTAGGAGCTGTTTCCTTCTAAGAGCTACCTGAAGTGGGTTGTGTATGAGAAAACAACAATTCTAGTGGGTAAATGAACTGACTCTAAACATCTTGAGACGTCACACAGGTCCTATGAGTGCATGAGGAGAACAGGGTTGAGTCAGTACTAGTGGTCTCTGTGATATCTTGAGGTGTAGACATAGTCAAAATACATATTCTGAAAGATGGAAGACATTATTTTGGATGGAATATTTTTTGCAGTAGGCGTCAAGAATTGGATTGTGCAGTGATTAATGAAAGTTTTCACTCTTATGTAATTGAGCGGTTAAAACATCTATTGTACAATCTAGGACACCAGAATGACTCTGTTGAAGGTAAACGCTGTGGTCCCAGGATAGAACTTGCTAACAGATGATTAATGCTGATAACAGATGAACGTTGAATCAGACTTTAATAATTGGATTGTTTATTTTTCCTTCTCAGCAGCCTGAGAACAGAGCTGTGGATGGGGGATGGTGAGTCTGGCTAGGCCCACAAAACAGACAGGTAATCTTCAGATACATACAGCATCCATCTGAGGTTGATCATGACCCTCTAGTGCTGGGTGCCGGATCGGATACCAGATGTGTCAGGGGACGCTGAAGTTGGGTCTGGGAAAACTGACCAATGGGACGGTTCAGAGAAGCTGTCAGTCGAGCACAACTGACACAACAACAAAGGAATTGTCAGCCAAACGATATGACTTTTCAAAGCAAAGATCTATCAGTCCAATAGCGAACTGAATTAACTGTCCAGAGGGGGTCCTGGAGTTGTCAACAGCGAAAACATCCAGTCAAGTCTTGCTGTATGCTGAGATATGAACTGCTGCACAAAGCTGAACTGGTCTCCAGACAAAGGGAGACAAACTGAAGACTGAAAGGCTGAAAGAAAAACTGGTGGTCAATCTGTCCAAGGTCACTAACAACAGCTGCAGCCTGACGGAGGTGTCAACCCCACATTTGGTCGGTGATGGTCATCCGAGCGCCTTGGGGTCGTGATCAAAACTGCAGTTGGCTTTGATAATAATCACTCACATAGGCTCATTTTAAAACAGGTGACACAACATGACACAGAAGTACTGATGTGGGGGTGCTAGATGATTCGCCCTTTTCCAATTGCTCTGAGATGAAAGTTGTTTTATTACCTCTAAACCTAATCGGACGATGAATAATGCTCCCCACCCCTGAGCATAATATAGACTTTTTAACTTTTCATATATACAGGTCACGAAGTCTCGTTCCAGAGAAGGCCTGTACCTAAGACCTGATTCGGAGGGAGTTCACTAATGTTTTCTAAAATAATACTAAATGATTGTCTTTGCCTTGAAATGAGCTCATTTGGTGGGTCTGGTTTGATACAAGGGATGAAATTTATTTAATGGTTAACTCTTTGGAAAATTATATGAGAGCTTGGGTTATATTTGGATATTTTTTTGCAAACCCTGGATTGAATAACAGTAGGGGAAGATTAAAAACTACACCATATTTTATATTTCTGAAACTAATACTCAGACTGGGGTGTTAGTATATTACGATCGGTAATACTTCAGATTTGAAACAGAAAACTGTTTCAAAGAGGGGGAAGGTGAAGGCTGCTCTTAGCAGGAAACAGTTCATACAATGATTAGACCATTACAAAATATACAAAAATAACTTCTTAGAGTTGTATATTTAAATGAACAGCAGAAAGCCAATAGTAAGTTTGAAGTGTTTAAAGGATCATTTAGGATAACCACATTGACATTTGAAAATGCACTTGTATATATCAGTTTAACAAAAGTATCTTTCTCTTTCTTTGTTGTAATGTGTACAGA